GCTCTCCACACTGCCATAACCTCTCGACTCCTTCACAGCCTCCCTCCCACCCTTCCTCCCCTCCCTTCCTCTCCAGCACCTCCATGCCCCTCCTGCATCCACGGCAAACTCAAACAGTCTCCCCACCACAGTCATCCATCCTTTGCTCCTGCCCCAATTGACCTTGTCCATATGGACCTCTGGGGACCCTCCCCCACCCGCTCACGCCAGGGCCATCGCTACATGCTGGTCCTCGTAGACGACCACAACCGCTATTCCTCCATTTTCCTCCTCCACACGAAAGACCAGGCGCCGACTGTGATCACCCACTGGGCAGAGCAATGCTGCGCCCACTTCAAATGTCCCATCGGCCGCCTTCACTCTGACGGTGGCGGCGAATTCCTCAATCGCACCCTCTCCCACTACTGCGCCACCCATGGCATCCAACAGACTCACACCCTACCCCACTCCCCGCAGCAGAATGGTGTCGCAAAAAGCCGCATTCGCGAAATCACCACAATCGCTCGTTGGCTCCTCGCTCACGCCTCCACCCCTCCTTCCCTCTGGAGCTATGCTCTCCTCCATGCTGCCCTCCTCCTCAACCTTCACTCCCATCCTCAACACACTGCCATCACCCCCACGGAACTCTGGTCGGGCATGAAACCTGACGCTGCCGGTCTCCGTGTCTGGGGCTGCAAGGCATACGTTCTCATTCCTCCTCCTGACCGCACCCACGGCAAGCTCGCCTCTCGCGCCCTCGAGTGTGTCTATCTCGAACACAACCGCGACTCGCCTGGCTACCTCTTCCTCCACCCTCCCTCCGGTCGCCTCATCCGTAGCATTGACGTCGTCTTTGACGAAACCACCCCGTACTACTCTCCACCATCAGACCCTCCTACCCATCCCCTCGCCTGGACTGACACTGTCCTCCCTCCCCTCCTCCCTCCTGCACCTCTACTACCACCTCTCCCTGCTCCACCTCCACCACCCTCATCTGCTGACATCTACGATCCTACTGCACCTGCTTCCCCTGCCCACTCCGCCGCCCCCCCTCTCCCCTTCCCCTCCTCCCCTCCCTCTCCCTCATCCCAGCAGCAGCAGCAACAGCAGCAGCAGGGGCAGCAGCCGGGGCAGCAGTAGGGGCCGCAGCCGGGGCAGCAGCATCAGGAGGAGCAGCAACCGCAGCAGCAGCAGGGGCTTCTACAGCACCAGCAGCAGCAGCGGCAGAGGGCCACTGCTCGCTCCTCACCCTTCCTCCTCCCTCGCATGCACACCCGCTCCCTTGATCCCATCCTTGGCACACCCCTCTCCCTCCCTCAACCTGCTGAAGGACTTCCATGAGGAACTCACTATGGTCCAGCGCCACACTCCCTCTCTCACCCCGCTCTACCCTGGCTTCCTCGGCGCTCTTATGTTTGCTGCAGTCTCCGCTCCCACCATCTTCGTCCCCTCCACCTTCTAGGAGGCTATCACCTGCCCAGATGCCGACAAATGGATAGCCGCCACCTTCCTGGAATGTGAGGCCTTCATCCGCAACGACTCTTTCGTCGACGTGCCCCTCCCCCCTGATGCCAACCTTGTCGAGGGCAAGTGGATCTTTCGAGTAAAGCAGCTGCCGGGAAAAGAACCAGTCTACAAGGCCCCCTATGTTGCCAAGGGCTTCACACAGACTTGGGCTGAGGACTACTGGTTCACATTCGCCCCTACCGTTAAAGCCCCCACCCTTCGCACCCTTCTCAACATTGGTGTGCGTGATAGCATGGAGATTGACTCAATGGACGTCTTCAACGCATTCCTGCAAGGCGACTTGCACGAGCGTATTTTCCTACGCCGGCCTCCCGGGTTTCACGCTGCTTTCCCCGACGATACCGTCTGGCAACTACGTCGACCGGTCTACGGTCTGAAGCAGGCACCACGAGAATGGCATGCAAAGTTGTCTGCCACTCTCCAGTCCCTTGGTTTCTGTGCCTCCCACTCAGATGCCAGCCTCTTCATCCGCTCTTCCCCTCGTCACTTCTTTATCTCGGTCTACGTTGACGACATGATCCTGCTCGCTGATTCCAAGACCGACATGGACCGGGTGAAGCGGTCCCTTCAGGAACGTCTCAAGTGCAAGGACCTTGGTCCGCTGCAGAACTACCTCGGCATGACCATCACCCGTGATCGACCCGCCCGTACCATCACCCTCTCCCAGTCCCATTACATCGGCCAGGTGCTGGAGAAGTTCGAGATGGCGCAGGCCAAACCGGTCTCCACCCCCCTCCCCTTCGGTCACCAGCTCGCGCCACCCACCCCCCCCTCCGCCTCCTCCCGCCCCTATGCCGAGCTCGTTGGGTCGCTAATGTACGCGATGATGTGCACTCGCCCCGACCTTGCCTACCCCATCAGCGTCCTAGCTGTCAACGGGAGTTGTAAGTTGGCCCCGTCCTCGCTTGGGCGGAGCTGACTTCGTGGTGGGATGTGAGGGGAGCAGCCGACCTGCAGCAGTGGGCGAGCTGGTTGACGAGAAGGTCGACCTGCACGGGGACCATTGCATGGGCGCCGACTTCAGGGTAGGGTGGCGCCGACTTCAGGAAGGTCGACTTGGGGCAGTCGACTTCGGTGGTCGGCTGACGGACTGCTGGTTGACCTAGTGGTTGGTCGACCAGGCCTGCTGGTCGACCTGCTGGTGGTCGACCTGACCTGGTGGTCGACGAAGGAGGGGCCGACGTCGACCTCGACTCTGGACGCCGAGCAGTTGGGCGTCGAGTAGTAGGGCGTCAACTTGGTGACGCCGACTTCGGGTAGCCGACTTCGGAGGTCGGCTGACAACTGCGCTGGTCGACGAGGAGCTGGTCGACCAGGACTGCTGGTCGACGTGGAGCTGGTCGACCAGAAGTGACGTCGACCTGGAGTTGGTCGACCAGGGGCGTGGTCGACCTGGTGAGGTCGACTTGGAGGTGGCCGTCGACTTGGGAGGTCGACGGGCACGTACGAGAGCAGCTGGTCGACGTGGTTGCCCGGTCGACCAGGTTACCTGGGTGACGAACTTCTGCGGAGGAGTGCGACAGTCGCCCAGGCGAAGTTGGCGAATCCGACCTCGGTGGTGGTATCCCGAGGTCGACGTGGCTGATCAGATGCAGTCGTCAGCGCCAGGTTGACTTGGTGTGTGCGCTGTGCAGGTGACAAGGCTCAGCACACCAATCATCTGCGAGCACCTGCGAAGCTGGTGCGATGCTGTACTGCGGGAGCTACGCTGGCACGCCGTCAAACTGCAGCGTTGGCACGCCGTCGACTTGGCACTGCTGGAGCGCGGTCGACCAAGTCGTGCTGGAACGCGGTCGACCATGCTGTGCTGGTAGTCGACCGACCTGAATGCTTGCTCTGATGTAGTCTTGCCATGCCAACTTCATTAAGACCATTGTTGTCAACTTTCCCTAGTGTGAAACTCTTGCCAATTTGCCCCGTGAACTAGCAAGCAGTGTGTGCACTAGGCAAACGACTAAGGATCAACGAACGCAGAGATCACACGAGCACCCGTGCCTAGCCCGTAGTCTAGCTCCCGTTGTAGTAGTTATCTCCGCACTAGCTCGGTTCGTCGGCTCCGGCCGCCACACTGAGGAACACTGGACTGCCGCGAAGCGAGTTCTCCGCTACCTTCGGGGCACCTCACATTGGGTGGTTCCTCCCCTCCCCTTCTCTCTGGCTTCGGCGACTCCTCCTGGGCGGACTCCCAACCGGACCGCCGCTCCTCGCAAGGCTATGGCTTCATGCTTGGCAGCGGGCTTATCAATTGGCGGTCTACTCGCTCATCTGCCGTTGCCCTCTCCTCCTGCGAAGCCGAACTCTATGCTGGCACCATGGCTGCACAGGAGTCCCGTTGGCTCTGCTTTCTTCTTGCCGAGCTTGGTGCCCCTCAGCGCTGTCCCACACTCTGGTGTGACAACGCCAGCACCATCCATCTCACCCAGGACCCCGTCTTTCACGGCCACTCCAAGCACATCGAGCTCGGCTACTTCTTCATCCGTGACCTCGTCCAGCAAAGCCTCATTGCTGTCCGCAAGATCGCTGCTGAAGCCAACTTGGCTGATATCTTTACTAAAGCCCTTCTTCGCCCTGCGCACTCTGCTCTTCTCCGTCTCATCGACCTCGCCCCTCCCGGCGCGCCTTGATTCAGGGGTTGCTACTCTCAAGCCTTTCCGCATCTCTGCAGGTTATGGGGTTGTGTTAGAATATCTCTCCTCTCGTAACTTGCATACATGCTATAGGATAGGCTAGAGATAAGCACCCAAACTTAGTTTGGGTGTACAAACAGGGTAACCCAGTTTGTAGGTTGGAACCCAACCTTGGTCCAATTATTGGACCCCAAAAGGTTGGGTTGGGTAGAATTATTGGCTCCCTCCAATAAAGTTGGCCCAACCCCAACTTGGCCAACATTATTGGACCCCACCAATAATTACCCAACCCAACTTCTTGGTTGGGGTCCAATAATGCCAACCTAGGCTAGTATCCAACCCCCTACTATGTATACCCCCATGATTCTCAATCAAAGCATTAACTTCTATAACTCTTGTTTCCCACACACCTTCCATCTTCCTTCCCTTTGCCAAATATCTCTTCCCTTCTCCCCTCTTCCCCTCCTCCCCTCCCCCTCCCCCTCCCCTCCCCCTCCCGCCTTCCCTTTCCTTTCCTCCATCCTTCCTTCCTCCCCCGTCCTCGTCTTCCCCCCACTCCCCCTCTTTCCCCCGACCCGAACCCCCCACGCCCTCCACCCACCACCATCAGGTACTGCCCTATCGCGGGCCTCTTGACAACCTCAGGGGTGGAGAGCAAGGGGTTTTGAGTCGACTTAAAAGCCGTCCTCGTCTTCGTCGCACTCCCTTCTTCCCCCCCCCCTAAACCCCCACGCCCTCCACCCACCGCCATCAGGTACTGCCCTATCTCAGGCCTCGCTGCAGCCTCAGGTGTCCCCTCCCCCTTCCCTCCCGCCACCCCCCCCCCCCCCACCCCAAACCCCCACGCCCTCCACCCACAACCACCAGGTACTGCCCTAACTCGGGCCTCGCAACAGCCTCTGGGGTGGAAAGCGGTTCAGAGGGGCTGGCGGTGGCGGTGGGGCAGACGCACAAGCAGCCCATTCTGCCAGTCCCTGGAGAGGTGCTTTGTGCTGCTGTCACTATCGCTTGTGCCTTGTTTTCATTCTGCTTGTTTTTCGCTTTCACTTTCACTTGTGTTTCTCACTTTTGATTGTGTTTTTCCCTTTTGCTTTTCGCTACTAGCTGAGCTGCCACCTGTACTTGTTACTGTAGTTGTCAGTTTTTATTGCGCAAGCAACCCACTCTGTTCTCACTGTCAGCTCCATCGTTCTCCGGACTTAGCGCTTCTCAAACTACTCATTACTCACCTCCCTTCTGCGACTGAATGTGCGGTGCGGTGCTGTGCGGTGTTCTGCGGTGTCATTGCTTTTGCTTTTTCAAATGCATCATTCTACAGGTCTTTGCGCTTCGCAAGCTGCTTCCAACCACGATTGCCTATGACTTCAACATTCATGTAAGGGGTTGTTTCAAACAGCAATCTTTTGCTTGATTTGTTCTGCATTTTTTTTCTCTTTTGGAAACAAGCACGAGAGTTACTGCCCTTTACGTTCAACACTTCGTCTGCTCTTTTGCAGATCATGGACTTTGAGCCGGGGGAGTTCCTAAATGTCGACTCAAAATTCATCCCTTTGCGTTGAACACCCCCCGTGCTCTCTGCAGATCATGGACTTTGAGCCAGGGGAGTTCCTAAATGTGAAGGTTAGTGTGGCTTCGTTTTGAGTCGACTCAAAACTTCCTAAATGTGAAGGTGAATGTGGCTTCTCAAGGTGATAATGCAAGTATATTGTGACACATGCTCAAGGTAATAGCTGGCAGTAGTCAACGTAGTAGTGTAATTGGACGTCCCTGTTCCTATGTAGTTGCTTACACATGCATGCTCCTTTTGAGGCGCCTCAAAAGTCGTCTCAAGGTACTAGCTGGCAGTAGTCAACATGTGTCACCATGTTAGTGTAATAGGACGTCCCTGTTCCTATCTGGTTGCTTATGCATGGATGTTCATTTTCAGTCGAGCTGAAAACTGAGTACGCATCCTTGCTCGTTTTGAATAAATTCAGGGTTGGCCGTCGAGGTGGCTTTCCGTCTGTCCCTCCCGTCCTCGTACCCTTCTCCCCAGCCACCCTTTCTCTCTCCCTTCCTCCCTCAGTCCCTCCCTCCCTCCTTCCCTCCATCCCTCACTCCCTCCCTCCCTCCCTCCCTCCCTCCCTCCCTCCCTCCCTCCCTCCCTCCCTCCCTCCCTCCCTCCCTCCCTCCCTCCCTCCCTCCCTCCCTCCCTCCCTCCCTCCCGCCCTCCCTCCCTCCCTCCCTCTCTCCCTCCCTTCCCTCCCTTCCCTATCTTCTTCCCTCCTTTTTTCTCTCCCTGCAAAACAGGAAGTGCATTACAATCAGCACGGGCTGCTGCTGCTGGAAGGACGGGGCATCTACCGTTTGGCTGATAGCTGGTGAGGAAAAAGCGTTTGAGGCAACAGCTGGTGAGGCAATAGCTGGTGAGGCAATAGCTGGTGAGGCAATAGCTGGTGAGGCAAAAGCGTTTGAGGCAACAGCCGTTGACGGTGAAATGCAGTGCACGCGTCTTATGTTTTGATACAGGGCTTTGCAGTGAGGAAATTATGCGGCTAAGAAAAATCTTAACAACGCACTTGAACCAAGCATGTGAAGCTGCAGTTTCTAAGCATTCATCCAAATACTGCAATTCTGTTTCACTCTGTATGTATTTGCAGGTATCCGGTCCAAGCAGGCGACACAATCTGGATGGCCCCGTTTGTTCCCCAGTGGTGAGCAACCTTACCTTATGATACATATTCAAATTATATCAATAACACGCATGTGTCATGGAACTCTTGGTTGATTGACGGACCATGAATCTTTACTCCCTAGCGGTAAGTTTTTCTCTAATGAATTGTTTGTTTCTACTTTATCTCAGCTGTAATGATAATCGCTCATGTTTCTTAAACACAAGTGTTTTCTCGCCTCCGCTCTTTCTCATCACACCTGCTTCTCAACTCTTGTGTTTTCCTCCTCACTGGTGTTTCCTCATCTCTCGTGTTGTTGAGCCATGCAGGTATGCAGCCCTCGGCAAGACTCGATCTCCTTTATAAGGACGTCAACGGCGACCCGCTGCTCCGTCCATCCATTCTAAGCACCCATGTTTTCTCATCTCCCCTGTTTGAGCCATGCAGGTATGCAGCACTGGGCAAGACTCGGTCAAGATATCTCCTTTATAAGGACGTCAACCGCGACCCGCTGCTCCATCCGTCTTGTTGATATGCTTCTGACATATAGCCATCCCTTCTACATACAAAATGCTTCCCTCATGTGTGGGGGAGAAGGGGAGGTGGGGGGGCAGAGGGGAGGGGGTGCGAGGGAGGGCGAGAGAGGGGGAAGTATTTGAAAAACTCTGGTACAGAGCCTTCCACAGTACAGCATAGCTGTGCTGAACAGTATTGCTTCTCAGCAATGCAGACTTACAGAGAAGTTAGAAAAACACTTCTGGTCCTAATTGCTACAAGTAGCCCTTATGCTCACTCAACTGTTCACGTTTAAAATTTTCACGGATACTCGATAGGAGCAGTTGGCGACGTTCTCGGGCAACAGCCCAAATATTACAAGCCCTTGTCAAAAACATGGTTTTATGACCGCGAACAAGTTAGCAGGTTTTTAGAAACAAAACAAACTGGACTACCTGGAATTACGGAACTGCAGTTTAGGTGGTGACCTCATTACTACGAACAAGCCAATTTGCAAATGATTGTCTTGTGTGTGAAATAGGAGCACAATGCAATATGTGGAACAGGAGTGGAATGAGAAAAGGAGCATCAGGTGCACATGGGAGATTCGACATGCCACGTAAGGCGGTCGTTATCCTGTACATCTTGACGTTACAGTATACTGTATCATCTCGACTTGACGTGCAACTAAAACTGGTTGAGTGCTAGGCACTGACTGACGGTTGGCGGGTGTGCGATGCTCAGCGACGAGAATCCCTGCATCCGTCTCCGTCCAGAGGCCAACTGGTGAAATACTGGCACACGAGAAAAAAATTGGCACCAACAAAACAGAAAAGGATGATATTGGAAAACACAAAACAGTTTCGCAATACATTACTTCAATTTCCGTGATTCTGGCTTTATGCCTACAGCGTGTTTTTAAGGGGCAGAGTGAATTAATCGTGCCGTCAGTCTCCTGACGTGTCAGGTGATCGCAAAATCCCATTTCAAGGCATGGATGCGAACAGCAGAATACGTGCGCGACGAGCACCGACATTGAGTGAGATCCAGCGTTTGTTCGAAACCGTGATTAGGCACCTTCGAACAAAGTTTGTGTGTAGCCCCGAATGCCATCTGAGTAGATAACTGCTCAGCTCGCTGAAGTTAGCCACAAACCCCTCCCATCCCATATCTCTCAGCTCACTTGTTCCTCCCCGCTATCGTTCAGTCCCTAGGTCGAGTCAGCAAAGCAGCCATGTCTGACGCGACGATCCCGCAAGAGGCGGGTACTATTCGCAAGGGAGGACTCGTTTTTATCAAGGGACGGCCTTGCAAGGTACGAGATGAGGGATTCCAAAGTTATCACGCGCCTGGTCGCTTCAAAGCAGAAGTTCTGCTTGCCTCTTTTCCGCAAAAGGGCTCAGATAGTTGGCTTACGAGTTTGTCGTTATTTATGGTGGAACATTCCACAGGTGGTGGAGATTTCTACCAAGGTTGGTGCGAAGTACGGTCGCACGATGTGCCATTTTGTGGGAACTGATATTCTCACCGATGAGAAGGTGGAAGATACCGTGCCGTCTACTCACATTTGCAACGTAAGTTTGCTTGCATAGCAGTGTTATTGGTCGTGCCGCCTGTTTCTCATCAAAATAATTCTGGGTTTTCAGGTTCCAGTGGTCCGTACCGACTTTCAACTCGTAACTGTCGAGAATGGCTACGTAAGTGTCCAAGGGTTTGTGTGATGGCATTTCCTAGCTTTTGGTTTCTGCGTCCTAATATCTGGCTACGGACGTGTTGCCTCAGGTAACTGTTACGACGCCCGATGGTGATATGAGGAGCGATCTTCACCTTCCGACCAATGAGGCTCTCGCCTCACAGGTATGGTAACTTTGGAAGTGCAATTTTCTCTTTTGTAGCGTGTGAATCATGGCGTTCCTAAGTCCGCCTCTGGATCATCTTGCAGATCACGAACGGAGTTGCAGAAGGCAAGGTACTTGCGCTGAGTGTAATGAGCTATATTGGTGAGGAGGTAATTTGCGCTGTTAAAGATGTGTCAAAAATGTAGGGGGTGTTGTAAATGGGATGGTCCATTGGACTACTTGATGGTTTCCTACCGTTAAAAGTTGCTGTAAATGAAAATTTCTCTATAATGGATGTTCTATGTTTCACAACCTTCATTTCAATTGTTTTAACTCATACACAATTCTCTGTCAACTTGTAAAGTTGCATGTTAGGCTACAGTGAGGTACATCTTAGAGAGTCCAACCTTTTAGAGTTGCTTATCCCATCCTCCCTAGCGATCATCATTCTGCTTGCACACTTCTGAGATGGTATCATAAAGTTATCTCGTAGCCTAGTCTAGCCCGCCTACGTGTCCCTAGCCGGTCCTTAGCTAGCCAGCCATCCAGATCTAGCCAGCCAGCCAGATGTAAAGGCCGCCTCTCCCGTGGTACAGCTTGAATTCCTATGTCGTGCTATCTGCTTCGAGGTGAATCCCCTTCGCCATCAACTGGCTCACACTCAGTAAGTTATAATCGAATCCTTCTGCAATTAGGACTTTCGACATCTGCAGTATCACATTTGTTTCCCTTGACTGAAGTTGTACCACCCCTTGTCTCCGTGTGCGCAGGTTTTGATTGTTGGCGACGGTGATGACGACCTCCCGTTGAAGTTGGTATTCTCGTTGAACGAAGCGACCAGAGGAGCACAAATGTTGCCCGCAGCAACTGTCAAAGAACCAAGTGTCTTTCCCGGACGGCTCGCTTTGAGCGATGGCTGCGTACGTCGGGTTCGGTTGAAGTGACTCGCGACGAGGAATGCTGTTGTCGAGTTGCTCTTCCGGTGAGTAATGTGGTGGTGACTCAGTGACGCAAGAATCTGTTAACTTTGCCATACAGCTGACGATGTTTCTTCCTCCTTGTGCAGGTTGTGTTGACGATGTCGTTGAAGGCTGCAGTTGACTCGTGGGGTGCGATTGTGTGAACACCACTTGACTGCTTGAAGGACGGAGTTGGCGTTGCGGCGACGTTGACTGCTGTCGGTTCGGGTAGTGCGTACGAGGGTGTCCTGAAGTCTTGCAGAGGTGACAAAACGGAGGTACGATTTTCGGTTGATGTCGATTGTTGCTGTTGTTGTAGCGACGTTGAGTATGAAACGCGAATTCGGATACTGATGTCTTCTTCCTGTGTCATTCTTCTTGCATGTCCATGTCTTGCTGTTCGGCGTGAATTTCGGCGCAAAGTGCTGCTTCGGAAATCTTTCCGTGAGCTTGGAGTATGGCGCGAGTGGAGCGCCAGTGAGGACCAAGGCCGCCGATGACGACTGTGACGAAGGCGTCTTCTGATATCGACCCTCTGCATCGAAGAAGCTTGCCGCGCAACTCGCGGCAGCGACTGATATACGCCATTCCTTTTTCGCCCGGTTTCATTTCGACTGTTGTCAACTGCGCCATTAACCGACTTTGGTTGACACCGTCTGTTGCTTGATACAAGTTTTTTAGGCGATTGTACGCGAGCTCGGCGGAGTTGCCGTATCCCCGGTAAGACCGAATATTCTGCTGCTGGTTTGGTGTGATATTCCTCAGTAGGATTGTATACGCCATCATTGACTGATACGTATACTGCTTCTTGTCGTACTGTGTCCCATGTGTTGGATATGGCAGGGACCCGTGGAAGATAAAGATGTCTTTTCCATCAAACGGTCTTGACGTCTGCAATTTCAGAACGTGCGCGAATTGCGACTGTACTTGAAGTGCGTCCAGTGTCTTCTCTTGTTCAGGTGCAGGCTGCTGGCGCGGCATGAAGCTGACAGAACCACGTTGCGGTTCATACGGGGCAAAGGTAGGCTGTTGTTGCTGATTTCCTCGCGCGTAAGATGAACCGTCGAGGCTCATTGGTGTAATGTTGTTGTTGTTGTTGTTGCTGTTGTTTGACTGCGCAGGTGCCCCTTGATGGTGTTGCTCGTAGAAGGACATGAAGGAGAAAAAATTCTCCATCATGGATCGAAGCCCACGACTTGGTTTGCGGGAGTTTCGGTAGACCCAGCTGCCGGTCTCGTTGTTGTGCCCTCCTCTGTCTGTAGGCCAGAGGCAGGAGGTGGAGTAGGAGTAGTACTAGGGGAGCCGTTGGAGGAGCTCCTCTCCTTCCGAGTAGCCATGTCTTCTGATGTTGTAGGTATTTAATAGTTGAATCTTATCCTGACTGCTCTCATACCATGTTGGGCTGAGAAAGGCCCTTAAGGATCTTTGCAGGACTAGATTCAATGGTAGGAATGATGTAACAGCGGAAGCGTTCAATGATGACTTTGTGAACCACCTTGCGCTGGTATGTGAGGGCAAAGTGGATTGATTAAAACAGAGAAGTACAAGGTTTTATATAAGAGTACAAGGAATACGAAGGGATACGGTTAATAACCGTTTTACTGCTGCTGTTGCAGTTCGATACAGTGACGACTCGGGCAACTGCTCAATAACGAGTCAGTTGTGTGTCCTTGCTGTCGCGCTGTATTTGTCAGGTCAAAGGTCGCTGACCTTTGACTTTCGCGTAACCTCCAGCTGTTCTTCAACTTCCGAGGGTTGATTCGCCGATGCTTCGCTGCACCTTGCTTCGTTTGCAGCTTAGTGTTTCGACACGACAGAGGCGCTAAATTACTTGTTCCCAACACCAGCAACAACGCACATGCCCCGCCAGCAACAGCGCGTGCGCTGTCAAGATAGCAAGCTGGAATGACTGCATTGAATGAGTTGTGGGTACAAGTACTAACCCTTATATTGGGTTGTACCCCATATGGGCTACCCCAATATAGCCTATATAGAACTAGCACAGATATAGTTTGACTGTCAAACTATATGTGTTATTTCTGTGTAGGCTATAGTGGGGTAGCCCATATGGGGTACAACCCGAAGTTAGGGTTAGTACTTGTACCCACATTTCATTCAATGCAATCATTCCTGCTTGCTATCTTGACACGGTTTCAGAGTAGTAGGTCCGTAGGACCGTTTTTTTTTTCCGGGCCCACCATACTTAGCTTTCGACTGCGGTTACCGCGTTACCCCACTATCCTGCGTTGCGCTGCCCCGCGCACGCCCTTCCTTGCCCCGCGTCGCGCTGCCTCGCGCACGGCCTGCCCTGCCCTACCTCTCGTCACCCTGCGCCAGCGCCCTGCCCTGCGCCGGCGCCCTGCCCTGAGCCAGCGCCCTGCCTTGTGCCAGCGCCCTGCCCTGCGCGAGAGCCCTGCCCTGCGCAAGCGCCCTGCCCTGCGCCAGCGCCCTGCCCTGCGCCAACACCCTGCCCTGCGCCAGCGCCCTGCCCTGCGCCAGCGCCCTGCTAAACCCTAAATAAAATTAGAATAATAATTAAAAAAAGGGCCCTAGGTGCTTTTGCCCCAGGAGCTACTACCTGCTGCTGCCTGCTACTGCCCTGCTGTGGCCGCACGCCGCCCTGCTCTGGCCGCGCGCCGCCCTGCTGCTCTTACTGCTGCTGCTGCTACTCGTGCTACTGCCTTCACTCCGTACTGCCCTAGAGGTCGCGCTCCTCCTAGCTTGCCCGCCATGACTTCCCTTTGTCGTACCGGTGGGAGTGGTGACGGCGGTGGTGGCAGCAGTGGGAGTGGTGGCGGCCGTAGTAGCAGTCACTGTGGCACTGTTTGGTGCGGAGTGTCTGGCGGTGGCCAGATGCAGCTACGGAGGCATCCGACCCTTATGCCCCGGCAGCTTCGTGAGTGGCTTTACCAGCGTGGGCCGTCTCCGAGTCCGGGTCACTGCCCGTACGTCATTCGCACAGGTCGTCGAGCTGGTGAGACCTGTGGGACACCTGGTCACGCACAGTCCCGCTACTTCGCCTATTTGACTGACGCCTGGCGCACAGAGTTTGGAGACGAGGCTGAGATCCCCCCCTGGCTTGAGCTGCTTAGGTCGGGCGTTTCTGGCTTTGCTTTAGACTATGATGCCATCCTTACTGCCATGTCTGCTTTGCCTGGTGGTGCTGAGAGTGACTGTCACCTGTGTGTGCAGTACGACCCCGGTATAGAGGTTGCTGCTCTAGGTGCTAGTGAGGCTGCTGCCTTAGGTGCTAGCGAGTCTGCTTCCTCAAGTACTGCGCCTGCTGAGGCCTTGCACACCTTCACGCTTGACTCAGGTGCTTCCCGCTGCTTCTTCCGTGACAGTACTGCACTCACACCACTCCCTGCACCTGTCGTAGTCTCTCTGGCTGACCCCTCAGGGGGCCCAGTTCTTGCACGGTCCACCACTGCGCTTCCGTGCCCGGCGGTTCCGTCTGGCTCACTGACAGGCTTCCACCTCCCCTCGTTCTCTACGAACTTGGTGAGCAACGCAGTTCTCCAGGACCAGTGGGTTGACACCTTTACCTCTGGAGGACAGCGTGTGGCGATCTGTACGTGCTCCCGGACCGGCTGCCACCTAGCCACGTTTACCCGTCGGCCAGGGTCGAGTCTTTACACACTGACGACTGCGCCTCCTCAGGTAGCCGCTACTGGTCAGGTTTCTGCGTCAGTTCAGGTAGCCTCCCCTTGTGAGTGTCGCTCCCTGTCGCACCAGACTCTTCTCTGGCACCACCGCCTGGGCCACCCCTCACTGCCACGTCTACGTGGCATGCACCGTCGCCTCCTTGCGTCTAGTCTTCCCAGGTCTCTCCCTCCCCTCCCTGCCTCGCCTGCGCCGCCTTGCCTTCCTTGCGTTGAGGGGCGGCAGCGCGCTGCTCCTCACTCCTCTTCGTTTCCCCCGACAGAGGCTCCTCTGCAGACCCTCCACCTGGACGTGTGGGGCCCAGCCGGCGTTCGTGGACAGGGCGGTGAGCAGTACTTACTGCTGGTTGTCGACGACTACTCGCGGTACACCACACTCTTACCCTTGCGCACCAAGGGTGAGGTCCCTGCTGTCCTGATCCCTTGGATCCGAGCAGTTCGTCTCCGGCTCCGCCGCAGGTTCCGCCAGGACCTTCCTGTCTTGCGTCTGCACTCTGACAGAGGTGGTGAGTTCACCTCCGACCTCTTGCGGGCCTTTTGTCAGGGGGAGGGAATCGAGCAGTCGTTCACGCTTCCGGGCTCACC